ATAATTTGTGCATTTGATCAAGATAAACTGTTCTGTTGTGAAAATTTTTTTTGCATAAACTTACAAATTTCTGGGCAATATAGCGATAAAAGTAAGTAAAATATTTACACAATTGAACGTACGGAAAGATGTATCCAAAATTATATGTAATTCATGTTAATTCAAGGCAATTTCTTTGAGATTCATAACTATGAAACGCGCATAAACTGAAATCATCGAATTCACATAAATCTGTTTTATTTTATTAATATTTATTTCTTCTTGTTATAAGGTTGTTGGTTGTGAAAAGAATCTATTTAAAAAAAAGCAACTGTGACTTTTTTTTAGATAATATTGCTATAATTCAGGTTAAATATATTTAAATGTCTTAATAAATTACAATATTGTGATAATCAGAATACACTTTAAGAGTTATTTTTCTGATTGGAAGTACCCAACAGGTACAAATAAAAACAAATTCTATTTTAAAGGCTTTAAGTTATGCCAGATTCGACTATTTCTTAATGATTTTCTGTTACGTAGTAATTACGGTATCATCTTATAACTTTGAAACAAAAAATACAATACGAAGTTTTTTCATTATAAATTTACTATTTTTAGTGGAAAAAATAATGCAGGAAAGCTAAAAAAACACGTAGTTTCACTGCCGTAATGCAATGTTGAAGTTACAAAAAATGACGCTGTTTCGGGGATTTCATCCCGATAGTGGAGGAAACTGCGAACCCTCCCTCCTTATATTCTAACCTCCTTGATCAAAACATTCTTTAAGCAAAACAGACAGACAGACAAAGTAGACAGATGTCTTGTTTAGTACCTGCTAAGTCTTTCTGCACCAATGGGCGAAAAATCAAGCTTAGGTGGAAAGGAAAGGGGGCAATTTCGTGGTTTCAGAGGAGAGTAAAAACGAAATTCGTGCATTTTATCCGAAATAATTCTTTTCTGTATTCTGAGCATTTACGGTTATAATTTTGAAATCATGCATTCAATATTTTCAATAGGTAATTATCGTTTTCAATCGTTTGGTATCTTAATAATACATTTTTGAGAAGTAACTCGTTGCGTTAAAGGCTAACAGTATCACACAATACACAAAAGTAGATTTGTAATTTTAAAAAAATCTCGCGCAGAACATTATAAACCTAACATTTCAACTCAGTTAAAATATAATTTAATTTTCTTTAAATATGAAGCTATAGCATACCTATAACATGTTTTTAAGAACAGACCAGTGGCGGCTCGTAATAAGCACTGTGAAACTGCAGCACCCCTATTTTCACTTATTATTATTTTTAATATTTAATATACTGTGCCCTTTAGCCTTTAATTCTTTCTTTATACTTTTACAATACATAATCCTTAAACTTAATGTCAGTAGCCATCCCCTCAGTTTGTGAAAAAAGTACTAAAGTCTTTGTTTGGAACTGCGCGCTTCACAGTTCCAGTGACAGTGCAGTTGTCTGTTCTGCGCATGCGCACACCGAAAGCAGCACGCGAGCCAGGCAAGAGAGAAGAGCACTGCCGCTCCTTGCAGTGCCGAAAGTTCTGGCATGTTGTTGGAAAATGTGATTTCTTTTTACTCCGCATGCGTGTGGTATATCCTCCACAAGGTGAAACTTCATCATACGGATCAAGAAAAGAGTTCATGAAAATTTGCAACCTTTAAAATATTGCCTTACTGAAATTCAATCAACATCAAATGCAGAACAACAACAACAAATGAAACAACTGTTCCTACCGCAAAAACAACAGGAATTTTAAAATATCTAAATAATGATAATTTCAAGTTTTGGTTAGAGCTTTTTATCAGATGCCTCATGTTGAAACAATATACAACAAAATGCAATCCAAAGAAATTAATGTGTTTAAAGTTAAAGAATATATAACAAATATCAAAACTGCTATTTTAGAATTAAGAAACTCCAAGTACTGTGAGAATTTTTCAAAAACACTGATGGCAGAAGCTAAGGAAATATGTGACTTTATACTATGTATTGATATAATCCACAGATATTCTTCCACTAAACACTTAGCAGCTGCTAAATTGTTAAACAATAAATGCTTCGCTAGTTTTAGGAATGAACATTCTACAGAAGAAATAGTACTGACCACTGAAGCATATCCAATGATTGACAAAGAAAAGCTTGAAAATGAACTAAAAGTATTCTATCGTAGGTCTGATATCCATGAATACTGCAAATTAATTGAGCTACTGAAATTTATTTTCAAAAATAATCTAGATGATGTTCTTAGTGAAATTATGAAACTGATAAAAATTCTCTTGAGAGTTCCCATGACTACATCAGAGGCAGAATGCTGCTTTTCAACACTGAAAAGAATGAAAACTTTTCTAAGAAGCACTAGGAATTCGGAAAGACTAAATGCGCTTGCTTTGCTTTCAATAAAGAAATATTTCCTCAGTTGTCATCCGGAGATCAAGGAGAAAATTATTGATCTTTTCGCGCAAATTAAAATAAGAAGAATGGTTTTCATTTTTAAATGAATAGACAAAGATTGACTAACAATTTTGGTTAAAGTAATTAAGAAATGTTTAAGTTTTTTCTTGTAAGATTTTATGAAGTTTCAAAATAAGTTTTCTTTTTATACATGTTTGTTTCCTTTTAGACAATTTTTAAACAAAGGTTAAATTCTTTTGGAACAGCACCCCCACTAATTTTAGCTACAAGCCGCCACTGGAACAGACGTAGCCATTATTACTCCATAAGAAGGCGTGTCCAAGCCTAACACACATAAACAACAAGGAGGTTAGAATAGACTATTATAACCTGCATGGTAAACAACGTATCGACTGGTGCAGCGTATATAGGATTAAGCCAAATGCATAAATAAACAATTATCTCACCAGCCTTAGTCCTTTTGTAAATAAATCTCTGGTAACAAAAATGTGAGCCTAAGACCCTGACGTCAAACAATGTGATTATTAATTGAAGCAAACCTGTAGATATCTAGTTGGCATAGCTAGTTAGCCTCTTACGAGATTTGTCACAAATGAATAAATAATTAGCGAATTCTTCATTCGGTTTTCTTTTATTAAGATGTTATACTATTTATTATGTCTACGTTATTAGATTTCTTACTATCTTCAGAAATCTGTGTCTATTTCCTCTAGTTACAATTTTTCAGATGCAACTCTTATCTTGCAAGAATATGAACGATCTGACATGTCACTCCTTTGATATTCATCAAATTATTCGATTTCGAAAATGCTGTGCTTATTGAATGTGTAGGATCTTAGTGATGGATTTGAGATGTTTGGCTCCAAACATATTAAATGGTTTTACTTCAGTTTGAACTTGTTTCGATTATTTTGCTCTCCAAAAATCTATACTCCTCCCTGCTGCCTCCCCCCAAAAAATTTTCTATAAATGAGGCTGAATCACAGCACATTCTATAATAGAAGAAGAAGTAGCTTGAAGTGGTTTTACAATGGAACCTTCGAGAAAGAGCTAGAATAATGGCAATAACATTAACCGTGTAAGGTGCGCAGAGTCGTTGTACGTATTTGCTTACTGCAAGCACGTTTTTGTATACGCATTGTCCTCGTTGTTTATCATTATAATATATTAAACTATTGTTTTAGAATTAATCATGTCTGCTGCAGAGAATGTAAGTTCATTTTTTAATTTAATTTATATGTTAATACATTTCTGGAAACTGAAAATGTGAAACAACAGGATGTGAGCTTTTCATATATTCTTAGAATTCCGTGTAAAACATTCGAAGATAGTTCTCCCAAAGTTGTTGATAAATGAATGATATGATATATAGATACAGTTTGGTTAAGATCATTGTATGGATAAGACCATGGCGCAAGTTGCTGTATATAATTTCTTATTTTTCTATTAATACCTTCTTATAGAATATGATAACAGTTTATGCTGTCGATGTTTTAACGTTATCTTTTTCTTAAGGAATTTATATGTTTATTAATATTTATTCATTTTTAGTTCCGACGAGATGCAGAGGAACTTTTCCGATTGTCTCAGTTAACTCAGATCGAAAATGTGCAACGTATACTCCACAATGAAGCCGAGAAATTAAAGCAGTTGGCAGATTTGGAGGAAAAATCAAGTCAAGGAGCAGAGTCGAGATCTGCGCGACCTGTTACTTATACATGTAAAATAATTAATTATGGTGAGTTAATTTATTTTTATGAAAATTCATTATATTGTCAGCGATTTAAAATTTTTTTTGAATACTTCTTGAAGTACTTTGCAAAAAGTGCTAGTTGATGCTAGCTGCATGTGGCTGTGCATTGTCCTGTTAAAAATGTAAATGTCATTTTGATATCAGTGGAACATTGCCATACTATCATTTTACTCATATAAATGGATAATAATCTGCATTTTAATAATTGATTTCCGTAACATCTGAAACATGGCATCCATAGGTGTGTTCCATAGGTTTGTGACGTTCAATAGTAAAAGATAGCCCAACTGCATAGTCGTGTTCAGATTCTCATTTAGTGGGTATTTTTCCCATATTAAGATTTAGATGAATACTGACTAGAACATTGTCATTTGTTTTCTGTGGCAGCTCTGATTCCTAAGACCCATATAACACGGCGTTTGTTTCACACGAACAACTATTTCAGACAATTCGGCTGCTCTTTGGAATATGGTAACTGGTAGTTTGGCGACATTTTGGAGGCGATAAAGGTTACTACCTAGGACTTTGGTAATAATGTGAGAAGTACTCAGTTCCGATTACACATTATTTTGTGTGAGGGAAATGAGAGATCATGAGATATATCATGTGACATTAATGAACGAATTACAGTTCTTTAGTCGAAAAAGGGGGAAATTTGGAAAACTGTAGTACTGTATTATTTTGTATTAAGCTTCATTGTGTGAAATAGTGGAAGTGTGCGTGCCTCGTAATGAAGATTCTGAAGATTAGGTAAGTTAGTATTTTTAATCATTTGAGGATATTATTTTCATGCATAGTTCTAAATGTAAGGAGTAAATAAATTAATATATTATTGGAAAATTGTTATTAGCAATGATTTAGTTTCAAGTAATTAGGATTGTAATCTAGTTTTTATTAATTTAATGTATGTGCTTATTTATATTTTAAGTAGTGTTTTTAATTTAATTATATTTTAATTAATGATCGTGATTTTGTTGAGTTATATGTTTGTAGTATTTTGGAATATGTTTGAGTAGTATACGTTGAGTATTTCATGCATTTTCGTGAAATTTTTCTAATTTATAAGAAAGAAGCAGTGTACATGGATATAGTGAAGAGTGTGCGCAATGTCATTTTTGTGCAATTCTGGGATGTTTTTTTAAGTAAAAATAAGTCGACGTGTACATGGTTTAATGATATTTTAATTAAATGATAGTTATTTTGTGAATTTTATGTTTGTAGCAATTCGATATACGTTTCAGTTGAAGTAAACGTGTATAGAAATAAGTTAAATATTTGACACTAAGTATTTGTAACCATTTTTAATTTTTGCGGTATAAATTCGTTGGTGACGTTCATAATATAATAGATAATTTAGAGGTAAAAGCTTTTGGATATTTTATTTATTTCATACGTGGAAATGTTCATCCTTTGAAAGGGTATATGGCTCATTTCGGATACCCGGCTCTTGGCTGAATTTGGCAAGTTTTTGGCCGCCATCTTGGATTTCAGAAATGCGCCAAAAAGCGCATTTCGAAATCCAAGATGGCGGCCAAATATTGTTTCCCTATCCGAGGGAAGTGGACAGGGGAAAACAATTCTGAACTGCCAAAAGGAAAAATTGAACTTACCCTTGTTCATGTTGACATGATGACGCCTGACATTCCCTATTTCTTCAATGTTGTACAACATAGTTAATGTTATATTACTAAGCATGATATGATAACTTACTAATTGTAATTCAGTCTAAAAGTAATAGAACAAGAAATTTTAATTAACGTGTGTACTTTAACGAGTGAAATGTTTTGCATGAAACGCTATAGGGCGAAGAAAAGTACTTACGCTCAAACTGTAAACAATCGATTTAAAAGAAAGCTTCCAACCTAAAAATTTGACTTGCATGTAATTCGGAATTTCGGCATTTATATTATTATTGGCATTAAATTAATAATGAATTTATATTTAAATTAATTATGTTATGCAGGTAAGTGTATGATAGTTTAAACATGATATATATGGATGAGAAATGAAAAATTAGAACATTTATTAAGGTATTGTAATATATGCTAAGTTCTTTTTAAGAAACTTATTTTTCAGTATATAGCACTCATTTTTTTTTTTTTATTAATTAATCAATTTGAAACATATATTTTCTATTTTTCCCTGTGTTAGAATTTCAACTTTTTTTTAATTAATCAATTTAAACATACATTTCTTAACTTATTTTCAATATGCAAGAATTTCAACTCTTTTTAATTAATCAATTTAAACATATATTTCTTAACTTTTGTTTCAATATGTAAGAATTTCACCTTTTTTAATTAATAAATTTAAACAAATATTTCTTAACTTATGTTTCAATATGCTAGAATTTCATATTTTTTAATTTATCAATGTAAACATATATTGCAAAATGAAGGTACTTACCCCTAGATGACATTGCTTGTACAATCTTTGTCTTCTTAAATTATGTTATTTATATTTATATAAAAATTTCACTTTTTCACAAGAAAATTTTTATCCAGGTTCTCACAGTTTCACCTTTTCACAAGAATATTTTTTCCAGATTCTACAGTTTCATCTTTTCACAAGAAAATTTTTATTCTAGTTTCTCACAGTTTGCAAGAAAAAATTGTATCCAGGTTCTCACAGTCAACAAGTCACAAGAAACTGTGTATATGATAACCAGGGCTAGAAAGGGGGCATATGTCCGGGGCACATCATCCAAGGAAGGCCAAAATGATGTTACGAATTTTTAGAGTTGAATGTTTTCCATTTTTGGCCAGTAGTCGGGAGGGGCACAAAATCTTCAGTTTTCCTGGGCGCTGGGCTGCTGATAACTTATAAAATTTCATTTTTTCACAAGAAAAACTGTATAGATTCATTCCTTGTTAAAATCCAATACTTCGTTTCAACTGAACTCCACTCTTATAGATCGAGGCCTGTTCATCAGATCTGAAAAAGAACAATTTTACAAGCATTTTGCATTTGAAATTAGAAATGATTCCATTTCCACATCACCTCAAGACTTACACGTACTTAAAAAAAGAAAAATCTTTTCTTCTGCTTTTTAACTATTCATTTGTTAGAAAATGTTAGAAATTTCAGAAACTTGGCAATTATACAAAAGTCAAAATTATCAGAAATAAAAAAGTTTAATAAAGATGAAAAGTAATTATAAGTTTAATTAAACAATATTAGTTCATTATAGGAAGATAGAGAAGTGAAAAGTTCAAACTAGAAAGTACTGTTACAAAAAAAAAAAAGGAAAATAAAAATAATAGTAATGATATGTATCTATAAAAACAAATTTCAAGTGAAAAATAATATTAAAAAATGTAATGGATGAAAAGAGATTAAAAGTAAACTTAGCTTTGGCAAAGTCCAAACCACGTTTTCACGTAAGTACCGGGGTACTGATTTCTTTCAGTACCTGACAGACAGACAAAACAGACAGATGTCTTGTGTTGCACCCCTTAACTGCGGCAAAATATGATCGCGAAAAAATATGCTCCTTTTTTTTTAATTTATTTCAAATATTTTGAAAAAAAATATTTTACTTTACAAATAAATGTTTTTCGGTTTATATGTTTTTTTTTTAAGACATTTTTGAACAACAGATGGAGAAGAATAATATTTTTATTTTTGTGCGGACATATTTGTGCGTGATGAACTCTAAAATGATTTTTACTGTTTTGTGGCATATTTATCCTCTAAAAATTATGCAACTTACTCAACTTTTCGTTTTTATTAAATTGGATAATGCCTATCAATTTTTTTAAGCACTGACAATAAAAGCTGTTATTTTTCGTCCCCCTTGTTTTGTTTTTAGCCCAAAGCGTGTTAGACCAGAAGGGCTATTAATTTCGTTTTCGCATATTGCGTTAATTCACGTTTCAAACTGTTTCCTCCGAATATTATCGCCGTGTGTTACATTTAAAGAAATTTAATAATGAAGAATCAGGATAAATATATGCATGTTTTACATACATAACATTTATGCAGATACTGTGATAAAACAACGGTACCTACAGCTATGAAATTTTGAATTACGTACGTCACCACCCAAATATGGGCATCTGAAAGCTCAAATTTGTAATTTGTTTTATTAACTATTTAACATTTTGTAAAGCATTTATGTGTTTTTGATTAAGAAACTCGACGATTTCTAAGCGAGCAATGGCAACACTGTTCGGCGCAAGACTGTCTATCGGAAATTCTAAAGATGTGCTCTTCTTTTAAATGTTTTGTCATATTGCTGCTTAAGAGAGAAGACAATTCGGATGTACAAAATTTAAAGACCGCATGTCTGTTGAGTATCTTCTGGATGCATACGTGAATAAAGCGGGTGCAGCTCGCGCAAAACCGTTTAACGCTGGTAGTTAGGTCCAACTTTCGAATCCCGGAAAACAGACTGGGTCCATGGGTGTTTGGGTGATTTTACGTATGTGTACCGTGTATGCAGTATCTTCTGGATGCATAGGTGACTAAAGCGGATGAATCCCGCGAAAAACCGTTGAACGCTGGTTATTCGGTCCAACTTACGAATACCGGCTAGCGGGTTGGCTGCATGGGTGTTTTCGTGATTTTACGCATGTGTATTGTGTGCGGAGTATCTTCTGGATGAATACGTGAATAAAGCAGGCGTAACCCGGTCAAAACCGTTAAACGCTGGTAGTTCGGTCCAACTTTTGAATCCCGGCCAACAGGCTGACTCTATATGTGTTTCAGTGATTTTCCGCATGTGTATTGGGAATTGCAGTATCTTCTGATGCACAAGTGAATAAAGCGGGCGCAGACCGCGCAAATCCGTTGAACACAGGTAGTTCGGTCCAAAGTTCGAATCCCGGCGAGCGGGCTGCCTGCTTAGGTGTTTTCGTGATTTAACGCATGTGTGACGTGTATGCAGTATCTCTGGATGCGCACGGGAATAAAGCAGGGGGAACCCGCGCAAAACCGCTGAACCCTGGTAGTTCGGTCCAACTATGGCATAACGGTGATATTTA